ATGAGATAAAAATGTATTACGATTGTCGGTACATATCATCGTGTGAGGCGTCATGGCGGTTGTTCGGTTGGGAGTTGCAGTACAAAAAACCTCCCGTCCAGCGCTTGAACTTCCATTTATTTGGAGAACAAAGAATATTATTTGACGATGATGGAAATCTTCTAAACGTTCTCCGTAAACCCACTGTTGATGAGAGCCAATTTCTTGCGAGGTTCGAGGCAAACAAACAGTACCCTGCAGCGAGGGAAATAACTTATGCTGAGGCACCGTCCAAGTTTGTGTGGGATACAACAATAAGACAGTGGACTCCTCGAAAAAACAAGGACAAACCCTCTGTAGGTCGTTTGCGGTACGTGCCTCCCGGTTGTGGAGATAATTATTACTTGCGATGTTTGCTTCCTGTTGTGCGTGGGGCAACATGTCATGAGGACTATATGAAGGTCGGTGATGTCCAGTATCTGACGTATCGTGATGCTTGCTATGAACGAGGTTTGTTAGAGGACGATCGAGAGTACGTAGATGGCATAACCGAGGCAAGTCAGTGGGCATCTGCAGACTCCCTTAGACGCATGTTCGCATCTTTATTGGTGTCCGGTTCATTTGGTAGACCAGATGACGTATGGATTAAGTGTTGGCAATGTATGTCTGATGACATCCTGTACAGACAGCGTCGACTTTTCAATAACGACGGTATTAATTGTTTTCATCTATCAATATCAATTTTAATAACTATTCATTTGCAAGTTTATATACAAATAGGAATATTTAATTAAACGTGTTTTTTTATCTTCGTTTATGTGTTCGGTTTGATAGATTTACAACTTACTGAGGAGCAAGTTAAAAACCTAGCCCTTGCTGAGATTGAGGCTTTATTGAGGCGTCGTGGTACAAGTCTTCGAGAATATTCATCTATGCCATATCCGGACAGGGATAGCATGCATTCAACTTCGAATCGTCTGATATTAGATGAGTTGAATTATGATCGAAAGGCCCTCACTGTTGAACATGATACGCTTCTTCAAAACATGACTAATGAACAAAAGAGTGTCTACGCCAAAATTATGTCCGCTGTTGAATCAGGCCAAGGCGGTGTGTTTTTTGTATACGGTTATGGTGGAACTGGGAAGACGTATCTGTGGAGGACCTTATCAGCTGGTTTGAGATCCAAGGGTAACATAGTCTTATGCGTCGCATCTAGCGGAATAGCATCGCTTTTATTGCCAGGTGGCCGAACGGCGCATTCCCGATTTTCTATACCATTGAATCCACACCAGGAATCTACTTGCGACATCAATCAGTCGAGCCCTCTAGCCGAATTGATAATTCGTGCTTCTCTTATAATATGGGATGAGGCTCCAATGATGCACAAACACTGCTTCGAAGCTGTACAGACATCTCTGCAGAGTATTATGGGAGCAATTGACCCCTCAAACAAGGACAAACCGTTTGGCGGGAAAGCTGTTGTTTTTGGTGGAGATTTCCGACAAATCCTTCCCGTCATTCCAAAGGGTAGCCGTCAGGACATAGTTAATGCTACCATCAATGCTTCTGACATATGGAGAAGTTGCACTGTGCTAAGGCTTACGAAAAACATGCGCCTTCAGGGAATGGCTAATTCAGAAGAACGTGATGAGCTTGCTCGGTTTGCGGATTGGATAGCCAGCATTGGAGATGGAACTATAGGGGGGGCGAACGATGGTTGTGCAATGATTGACATACCCGATGACATATTGCTCCAACCATCTGATGACCCTATTGCTCAAATTGTTGAAAGCACATACCCAATGTTTAAGGATGCAACCGACGATCCAAGTTATTTGAAGGACAGGGCTATATTAGCGCCGACTTTGGATATTGTCGATTCTATCAATGAGTACATGACATCGTTGAATTTGTCGGATGGTCGTACGTACTTGAGCTCTGACAGTACGTGCAAATCAGATTCTAATAATGACTTTTTGTCCGATCTCCATACGCCCGAGTTTTTGAATAGTATAAAGTGTTCTGGAATACCCAATCATGAGTTGTACTTGAAGATTGGAACTCCAGTCATGCTATTGCGGAATATGGACCATTCTATGGGTCTGTGTAATGGGACACGATTGGTAGTGACAAAGCTCTCCACTCATGTTCTCGAGTGTAAGATCCTCACTGGCGATCACGAAGGTGATAAAGTGTTGATTCCAAGAATGGCTATAACTCCATCTGATGTTAGAATTCCTTTCAAATTCCAACGTCGTCAGTTTCCCATTATGGTCTCTTATGCCATGACTATAAATAAGAGTCAGGGACAATCGTTGTCTCATGTGGGCTTATTTCTTAAGAAACCGGTGTTTAGTCATGGGCAGTTGTATGTAGCTGTCTCCCGTGTCACAAATAGAATTGGTTTGAAAATCCTAATTTGTGGCGACGATGAATTGCCAACAAATCAAACCATGAACGTTGTATATAAGGAAGTGTTCAATAATATATAGATTATTTTCCGTTATATTTATTAGTTTTTTATTTATTAATGACATGATGTTTACTGTACTACGTACTTTGATTTTTAATTTAAATTTGCTTTGTAAAAGGGACGGAAATTTTAACCCCCCGTGCATCGCACGGGTACTGTACTAGTTTTGGTAAAAAAATATTACTCAATATAGTAAATACTTTAGGCGAGAAACTAAATATTTTTTTTGTTGATTTTTAGTTGTTATTTCAAATAAATATCATTACATTCTTATATATAGATTAATAGATTTACGTGAAGTAAATTTGTTAAGTAGATAAATGCAAATATTTTAGAGATTTAGGTTATTAATTTCCTAATGAAAAATTCAACTTTTAGTTAATAATAATACCATAAATAAAGATCATGCAATCCCCATTGATACTTAGGACGAATGTTAGGAAGTAGGTTTACTTTGTTACGACACTATTCAGAATACTAATTAGAAGTAAATAATATTTAGTTTGTTAATTTGTTAATTAGATTACTACAAATATTGTTGGATATTCACTCTTAATAACTATAGTGGACTTTTGCACACTTTTACTTTCGTAGGATACTATATCACAATTTACATGAAATTTATAAAAGTTAATTATTTGTTATATTAAATCTAATAATTATAATTATTAACGGGGTTCCGTATAAGATTGATTTATTTATCTTCGTATGGATAGGAGCTTGATTGAATCCAAAGTGTAAATTAGATATAAGCTGGTTCATTCCTTACTGCTTCCGCACATTTCGGCTGAAGAGTTTTCCTTCCTAGCTGCCCCGATCTGATGCCATGAAATCTATATTTAAAAAGAATATTTTATTTAGATATCTACAAATATTTGACAAAAAAATCTGACCAAATCTTTAAAAAATCGTATTATAGAAATAGATTACTACAAAAAAGGCTGAAATCAATAACTAAAATATACAAAAATTTTGAATTGGTCGCACGGCGGAGATATTCAATTTTTTGCCCAAAATCTTGCTCATTATAGTAAACTTTAGGCGAGAATTGAAATTTTTTTTTTTTTTTTAGTTATTATTCCAATCAAATATCATTCCCTCTTTATATATTAATAGATATTATCAATATAATTAAATAATATCAAACAATTACTCTTACACATCACACAAATTTTACTGCACTATTCATCTACTTACATAATCTATCATTATATAAAAAGAATAACTTTTTTTACAAATTTAGAAACTTTTTCCCGCCAAAATCATTAAATATATCTTATATATAGTAATTGTTGGACAAATTGAATAGGCAAAAAGATCTGCTCATTAATTGTGTAAAGATTTGTTTCTCTTTTTCCTGTTTCTTAGTTTATCGTTTTAATAATAAATATTTGTTTTTCTTTTTCCTATTTTTAGTATAAATCTACACGAGCTTATCTCTTCTGTTATAAAATCTCATTGCATATGATCTTAGGTGTTTAAAAAATCTCATCTCTTATCTATACAGATTTGAAAAAATAAAATAAAATAGAAATCAATTCATAATTACTACTAGAAATCCATTATCTTTAAATAGAAAAAATAAAATAAAATAGAAACTAATTCATAATTACTACTAAAATCCATTATCTACTTTAAGAAGTTAATTTTCATCGGTCTAATTACTAATATTTTTACAAATATTCTAAGCTAACCATACAAAAAAGTATAATAATAATTTTGAAATGGTGTGTAATCAATTTTTTTTATATTCTCTTATACAAAATCATTTTACATTGTTTGACCTCGAATCTTTAATTTATAATTATTAAGTATTATTTATCCTCCTCTTTTATTTATAATTATTTTTTTTTCATCCTTTTTTTAAATACGATCAATAGTAGTTTTCACTTCCGCCATTGGCTCAAACTCGAGGTCTATTTATAATATTGTTAATTTAATATTGTTCTCGTGCATCGCACGGGATACACACTAGTTTAAACTAACCATCACTCCTCACATAATTTAAACTAACCATCCCTCACATAATCATCAATCTCTCTCCTACTGTTACGTCAAATCAACTTTAATTATTTTACATTAAATATTATTTTAATATAAATTAAAAATCCCACTAACAACTAACCATACCAACTTTTTCAAAATTAACCATAATTAATTAGAAAAAATCGTTTTGAATGGATATATTTGTATCCAAGCACGTCTTAATAGTATTCTTTCTTCAACCCACAATTAATATTCAAAGTTACACAACTTGAGGTCAAAATCACTCCTGGAAATAGACAAACAGAAAACACATCTGAAAACTCTGATTCCTTGTGATTATTCTCAAACTATAAACACAACAAACACAAAAAAAGAAAAACATACTACAGTCTCACCTAGTTGTCACTAGCTTCAGAACTTGAACTACACAACCTCCAGTACATCAAAATAAAGGTAGTCAAAATAAGGAGGAAAAAACAGATAAATTTCAAAATCCAAATTTCATTCAACTAAACCAGTAAACCACCAAACTAAAAAACCTACATACATTACAAGCAAGCTACCGAGTCAGCCCCAGAGACGAGACCGGAAAATTCGCTTCTCGTTCAAGTCTGTTGAAACCCTTGTCCCGAGGGACAGAATTGGTATTACAAGTTACTTATAAAGGACTGTAAATTCCAAAATGCAAATGCTCATTTTTTTGTTCTTTTTTTTTCCCTTTTTTTTTTTGGCTCTAGAAAGGACGGCCATGCATACCTCTACCACCACGACCCCTCGACACATAGCCACCATATCCGCCATAACCTCTTCCTTGGTACGACCCTCGAAACCGACCNATATGATTTTTAAGGTGATTTGGGAGAACATAGCCCATGCATTTTTGTACCTCAGTATCCAACTTCATTTGCTCAGAAAACCTAGTCCTTCCATGATTCGGGTCCTTTTCCAGTGAATTGCAGGACAGGGAATCGAAAAAGTCGTCCTTGTTATAAACAGACTGCAAAAAGGCGCCAAAAATAGCCAATGTGAGTAAAGTTCCATTGAAATTGCCGTATCGTGTTTTGTCGACTATAATTGAAACCATAAAATTACCTTGACCTCAATCTTTGGCAATTCAGTATCATTCTCAACCGGCAAATCATCTTCTTCATCACTTTCGTCGTCTTCTTTATCTTTGGATTTAATATTATGTTTCCCCAAATGACCCCACACTTCGTCTTTATTGAATTTTTCGTTCATTGCAGTGAAGTCAAAATCTTCGGTGAATCTCGCTACAGGGCGTGATGTCTGAAAGTCAACGAAATACAATAATCCACATTGTATTGCTTAAAAGGAAAGAATTTGGGTCCTTGATAAATTGTACTCAAAATTCAACAAAACTGGAAGTTGGCATAATTCTTACCCCAAATCCTCTTCCACCACGCCCTCTGTAATTGTTACGCATGTGATAACCACCTCCATTAAGCTAAAAGAATAAAAAAGTACAGCATTAGCCCAAAAAACTACAATTTAACAGTTATAATATTATTGACAAGCCCTGTTATAATAATAAAATACGGTGGGCAATATCAAGAACTGATAAAGAAAACAAGAAAATTGACGTTTACAAGCTAACCCAACATCCGAAGTACGATTATGATCTCATAACCTCGCTTGTCATAACTATTGCAGGCAAAGAGCAAGAAAAATGAAACACGACGTATTAAGAATCATAAATAACGAACAAATTAGAATAAGAATGACTAATATATTCAATAAATCCCAGTCCTTAAAATGGTCATGGTCTTAAAATTCAAATGCTCTTACCACATTGCACTATCGCAATTCAACAAGAGATAAATTGGTAATATCTGCCACTCAAAAAAATAAACGTTGCCATAACAATGCATTTCTGCTGAAGCATGTCATTAAATCTACAAAACTCAATGACAAGATTTTCAATAAAGATTTGAAAATTACTTTATTAATTATTATAAGATCAAACAAAATCAGCGAAGTCCTATGTCCAATAAGGTTTATACTCATTGATGCAATGTCGTACAAAATCATTTCAAAGTAATTACGTTGCTCTTTGTATCATTCTATACAACAGCCGTCACCAAATGGAAATCATATATCCTATTCCTAATTTCCTATTCAACTTTAGTTTAGGACCACAAAGAAACATACAATTTTTTCACAGTATTCATTCAAAATGATCGAACATCAGAAGTCGTTAAAAAAGATGAAAATAACTTTTGACCATATCAGTGTATATAAGAAATCAGGGATAAAAGGAAA